CCCTACCGCAGGGCGCTCACCCCTAGAGCAGGGGGCTCACCCCTACCGCAGGGCGCTCACCCCTACCGCAGGGGGCTCACCCCTACAGCAGGGGGCTCACCCCTACAGCAGGGCGCTCGGTCCTGTGACTCATTCCTGTCCCCTCGGAAACACCTGGTGGGGAGGCGGGTGAGGGCACCACCTCGCAGGTGCCTGGAGCGCCCCTCCCCACTGGCTTCCTTCCCCCTGTTGAGAGGGGTGGTAGCTGGTGTCCCAGGCAGGGCTTCAGAGGAGGGCAGGTGGGCATCCAGGTCCCGCCATCCTCCTGGCTCCTCCATGACAAGCAGGCACTGGAGCTTGGAGGAGCCCCCAGTGCCAGTCTGTGCTTCTTCCCAGCCCCCCATCCCAGCAGGGACCCCAAAGCCCTGGTGAGCTTCCACTTCCCATGCCGTGGCCCACCAGCCCGGCTCTGCACGGTCCCAGTGCGAACCCCGCAAAGCCCGGGTGACACATCTGAAGAGCGTCGTGAAAGCTTGCCTGAGCCTGCAGGGGTGGAGGGCAGTCGGGAGCGGGCAGCGGGCCGTGGGCTGTGGGGAGCCCTGGGTTGTGTGACGCCGAGCTCGCTCTGAGCTGGGCTTCATATGACGGCTGACGGTGGCGACTGTCCCATGTAACTGATGCTTAGAATCAGCAGAGGGACGCTGACGGGCCTAAGGTTTCAGGGCTCGTTGCATGTTTATGGACTGACTCCTTACCGCTTGTTTCTTGAGGGGACCGCAGGTGAGCCCTGGCTCCCACGTGGGGAGGGCGTGGGCTCTGAATTGGGACACCTGCATAGGGACCCCAAAGTTCAGCTCTGCTATGAGGCCTGGATGGAAACCAGCCCTGGAGTGAATCCAAGGACTCCTGCCCTCCGGCCACCTGAGCCCACAACCCCTCGGAGGACAGCCCCTCCCACTCAGGAAACGCCCACGGATAACGCCCCATCAGGCGTGAGCTCACAACCGCCACAAGACATGCGCAGGAGCCGGCCTGTGGGAGGGTGTGCAGGCACTGTGCCGTGGCGGGGGTCCTGCCTCCAAGACTGCAGGGGCTGGGAAGGCCACACACAGTGACATCAGTACGTTGGGTGAATGTGAGAAGATCAGAGACGGAAGGAAAAACATAAGCAGAGAACAAGAGACTCGAAAGGGAGCCAGATGGAGTGTCTAGAAATGAAAGATATGATCCCTGAATTTTAACGGAGTGAATGAGTAAAAAAAAAACCCACCAATTAGACACAGGTACAAAGAGCTCACAAACTCAAGTTCAATGTCAGTAGGTTGCCTGGACAGACGGATGGTCCTGCAGGATGGGGGAGGGGGGGAGGGTGCAGAGCGAGGTGGGGACGGGGCGAGAGGTCCAGCACGTGCCTGACCAGAGCCCCAGGAGGCAAACAGGGGGCCATTCGGAGCACTGGGGTGTACAGAGTCTCAGATTCAGGGGTCCGAGGGCACGGCAACTAGACAGCAGGCGGCCACCGTCGCAGCTTCAGAAGCCAGAAGACGGGCTGCAGCGGGGCCGGAGCTAAATCGGACCCCTGGGGGGACCGTCCTCCAGAATTGGGGTAAAAGTGCATTTCGGATGAACCAAAGCTGGGGCAGGCTCTCGTCCACAGGGCTTGCGAGGGCCGTCCTCAGGGAAAGGAGGGAATGACCTTGGAAATGCAGCAGATGGAGGACAGGGAGCGGGCGGAAGTCTGGCCGACATGTGGGCACCTGTGAACAGGGAGGGACAGTGTGAACACGACAACAACCACGGCAGGAATAGTAATAATAACAACATCTGACCTACGGGGTTAAACAGGCAAAGAACCCACACGACTAACGTAACTGGGACCAGAATTGCACGTCAGCCGAACGTGGGGCCATTAGAGCAACAGCGTCCCAGGGTTTGTGCCCACGCAGGAGGTGAAGGTTCTGACTAACTGTAGACACTACTAAGTACGCACATTAAAACATCCAGGGTCCTCTCGAAAAGATTAAAAATGGCTTAACAATCTCCAAACCAATAAAGGGGGAAAGAGACTAAAAACTAAACTCAGTAAATCCGAAAGATGTATTGTTTGCTAGGGCTGCTGTAACAAAGGACCACAGACCAGGTGATTTATTTTTTTACTTTATTTTTTGGCTGCGTTGGGTCTTTGTTGCGATGCGCGGGCTTCTCATTGTGGTGGCTTCTCTTGTTGTGGAGCACAGGCTCTAGGCACGTGGGCTTCAGTAGTTGTGGCACGTGGGCTCTGTAGCTGTGGCTCTTGGGCTCTAGGGCACAGGCTCAGCAGTTGTGGCGCACGGGCTTAGTTGCTCCGTGGCACGTGGGATCTTCCCGGACCAGGGCTCGAACCCGTGTCCCCTGCGTTGGCAGGCGGATTCTTAACCACGGCGCCACCAGTGAAGCCCAGATCAGACGACTTAAATCACAGACATTTCTTCTGTTGTAGCCCTGGAGGCTGGAAGTCCGAGATGGAGGTGTGGGCGGGCTGCATTCTTCGGAGTGCCCTCTCCTCAGCTTGGGATTGCCGTCTTCCCCCTGTCCTCACATCGGCTTTCGTTCACACGTGTCCCTGGGTTTAAATGTCCCCTTTTTACAAGGACATAGTCATACTGGATTAGGACCCACCCTAAAGATCTCATTTTGACTTGGTCACCTCTGTAAAGACCCCATCTCCAAATCTGGTCACGTTTTGAGGTCCTGGGGCTTAGGACTCCACATATCTTCTTTGGGGGGTGGGGGGGACACAATTCAACTCATAACAGAAGGCGAATAGAGAATAAAGTCTCCTCAAGCCCACAGACAGCGCTTTGGAAAATGACTGTTGGTGACAAGGACGTGGTATTGCCCGCCTTGTACCCTCGAGGCCGTCGGCTGGGGGATGGGGGACTTAGGATCACTTTAGGAAACCATCTGGAAAGTTTTAACCCTGGCGCGCCCAGTCCGCAGCTGACAAGAGCCTTCTTGCGCCAGCACATCTGATTCAGGTGGTTCCCAGCGACACCCGCCCTCATGCTATCTCTGCCCCACAGGAAACGCCACGCCGGTGGCCAGCCCTCTGCCAGGGGCCCTGTCGACTGGCATATCTTCCCAGAACTGCACGTCGAAGGTGCCCTTCAACGACAGCAGGGTGTTCCTGGTGACTGTGTACAGCACCGTGTGCATGCTGGGCCTGCCAGCCAACTGCCTGACGGCCTGGCTGACGCTGTTGCAGGCGCGCCAGGGCCACGTGCTGGCCGTCTACCTCTTCTGCCTGGCGCTGTGCGAGCTGCTGTACATCAGCACCCTGCCGCTCTGGGTCGTCTACATCCAGAACGGGCACCGCTGGCTCCTGGGCCCATGGGCCTGCAAGGTGACCGCCTACGTCTTTTTCTGCAACCTCTACGTCAGCATCCTCTTCCTGTGCTGCATCTCCTGCGACCGCTTCCTGGCAGTGGTGTACGCGCTGGAGACGCGAGGCCGCCGCCACCAGAAGACCGCCATCCTCGTCTCCGTGTCTGTCTTCGTTCTCGTGGGGCTCGTCCACTACCCGGTGTTTCAGATGGAGGAGAAGGGAACCTGCTTTGAGAAGCTGCCGATGGACCGCGAGATCGCCGGGTACTACTACACGCGCTTCGCCGTGGGCTTCGCCATCCCTCTGTCCGTCATCGCCTTCACCAACGAGCGCATCTGCAGGAGCATCAAGATGAGCGCCGGCCTGAGCGCCGCCCAGAAGGCCAAGGTGAAGCGCCTGGCCGTCGCGGTCGTGGCCATCTTCCTGCTCTGCTTCACTCCCTACCACCTGGTGCTCCTGGCCAAAGCCATAGCCTTTTCCTACTACAAAGGAGACACGGGCCTTGTGTACGCCTTCGAAATCAAACTGTACACGGTCTCCGTGGTGTCCCTGAGCCTGGCCACGGTGAACAGCGTGGCTGACCCCATCATATACGTGCTGGCCACAGAAGCTTCACGCCAAGAAGTGTCCAGAATCCACAAGGGGTGGAAGAAGTGGTCCATGAAGACAGACGTCGCCAAGCTCACGCATTCGAAGGATTCTCAGGAGGCACAATCGCCCACATAGCTCACCAACGGCTACGCCTTCCCCAAGCCTGTCCGCCCACCGGGGCCACCGCCGGGCGCGCGGCCTCGCCACGCACCCTGGAGGGCCTGACCGAGGCGTCCTGCTGAACCCAGCGTGGGAGTCCAGGGCCGATCGCTCGGCTTCCCACGGGGCCTGCCCGCCAGCGTCCACAGCGCTGGCTGTGGAGCCCCCTCTGGACGACACGCCACAGATTTCTCGTTCCTGGAGCTTCTGCCCCTTGTGGGTCCCAGCCCCGCAGCCTTTTCCACCAGGAGCAGAAGCCCCACAAGGGAGGTGGCAGCACGCCGAGGGTAAGGGCGAGTCTGCCAGCTGCAAGGGGAGCCCGTGGCGGGTGGGAGGGCTTGTTCTGGCTGGCGCTCTCGGCTATTAGCGCACCGCAGGGTCGCAGGCAGAGGCCGTGTGGCCACGTGGTGCTGCCGGCAGCTGGCACAGGCCCTGCGTGCGGTAGGTGCCTGTCAGCGTCCGCGTGATGGCTTTATTTCCCGCGCTTTTCTGCAAGCGTTGCTTGGATGACTGTGACAGTACATGGCGGGGCCAGATTGTCAGTGCAAACCGTGCCCCTCCTGAGGCGGCTGCTCACGGGGCTGTGGCTGGGGCCTCTCTGTGCTGCAGACCCTGAGGGGAGCCGGGGGGCGGGGCGCACCCACATGGCCTCCGGAGGGAGCCCCAGTGCTCGTGGCAGGAATGCCCATCAGCCGGGAGGGCCGGGGGGCACCCCAGGCAGGGTGACACTCCGCCAACGGGCTCCGAGGACGGTGGTAAGTCCTCCGCACCGAGGCTTCCCAGCTCCGCTGTCGGGGAGAGGCCGCCGAGGGCCAGGCCAGGTCACAGCGCTACCTCCGTCCCCCATCCGTGACAGGGGCCAGTGACACCTACCTCAGCGGGTCGGCATTGGGGGCTGACCACACCCACCGCTTACGTTCACATTTCCCTAAGGCAGCGGTGATGGACGTGCTTCATTGTGAGAGACCCTGAGTGGATATGTGATTTAGAAAATACGTTTAGAAATAAAAATGCAAGAATACACGTCGGTGCCAACTTCCTAACGTGGGGTGACGTCATTTTACCTTCTCAGGCAAACGTTTCCCTCTAGGCCCCTCTTGGAGGGCCAAGCCCTGGGGGAGGGGCGTGCGCCTGGGCTCTCCAGGTGATGGGCCGGCTTCCAGGAACAGTCTGGATTATTCAGGGCCGGGATCACAGGACGTTTCGACAACATCTGACGTGTGACTTCCCGGGGCTGCTGTAACTAATCGCTGCAAACCGGGGGGCGTAAAGCAAACAGGATTCTCTCAGCCTTCTGGGGGCTGGAGGTCAGAGGTCAAGGCGTGGGCAGGGCTCCTTCTGGCGGCTCTCAGGCAGCGGGTTCCATGCCTCGCTCTTGGCCTCTGGCGCTGCCGTGCCCCCCCACCCCGGGTTCACCCCCCTCTCTGTCTCTTTGGACTTAGGGCTCCCCTGGATAATCCAGGGTGAGCTCAGCGCCGCATCCTTAGCCAAAGCCTATTTCCAAATAAGGCCCCGCCCCCGGATTCCGGGGAGTAGGATGAGACGGATCCTTCCGGGGCCACCAGTCTATCCACTACGAATGGCAGGAAGGAGCGAGAACCATGCTCTGTGGCTCCCAGGGCAGGAGTGGCCCCCAGACTCACTGCCCACTCCTCGTCGCTCCGCACCTGTCACCGTCCACTTGGTGGTGACCGTGACAAACGCGGGGAAGACATGGTTACCGCGCGAGCACCCCACGACTGTGCTCTGGCCTCCCAGTTGCTGCAAAAATCTGCTGTACAAAAAAAAAGAACGATGGTAGAGTCTCTCTCTCTTTTTCATTAATACGCTTTCTTGACAGCCTCATGCTGCTTCCTTGCCAGTTTTAGGAAAAGTTCCTGGCATCCGAAATCCCAGCCTGGGGCCCTCCCTCCAGCCCCCTCACCTGGCAAACCGCCCCCCAGGACCGTCCTCGCACCCTAGCCTCTCGGGCAGCGTCACTGGCCCTGGGGTTTCGGCATCTTACGCCTCAATTTCAGTCACGGACGTAAAGCTCGTGCTCCCACTGAGGGGAGCAGCAGGGCCTTGTGAGCAGGGTCCCCACCGCTCCATCCATGAGAGTCCGGGGCTGCCGAAACAAATGATTGCAAACCAGGACGAAATGCCTTAAAACAACAGGAATTTACCCTTTCACAGCTCCAAGGCCCCAAGTCCAAAATCAAGGTGTCGGCAGGGCTGCGCTCCCTCCAGAGGCTCCAGGGGACAGTCCTTCCTGCCGTTTCAGCCTCTGGTGGCCCTAGGGGTCCCTGGGCTTGTGGCTGCATCACCCCAATCTCTGCTTCTGTCTTCACGTGCCCCCTTTTGTGTCCCTCCGGGTTGCCCCTTCCGTCTCAAGACCATGTGGTGGGCCCCAGTGGCCATCTGGACGCCCGGCACTGGCCCTGCCTGGTCCACAGTCATCCTGGCCCAGCGGCTCTGTGGCGGGGCACTACTTTCTGTCCGCTCTCCCCAGGGAGCTCAGAGCCAGCCTCGCCCGCACCAGGGTGCCCAGGCTGCACAAGGTGCAGGGGAATCGGATGGGAGCTGGGTGAGAACTGTGCCCGATGGGTCCGCACCCTCCACCCTCGGGCCATGGGGCTTCATCCACACTGGCCCGGGGGTAGGTAGGCCTGGCCTGTCCACCCTTCCCCTCCTCTCTCCCTCTGTCCTCTCACGGGACTGTCTCAAAGGACAGCCTGTGTGTGTGTGTGTGTGTGTGTGTGTGCGATGTGACCCTGGACGCAAGCCCCCAGCCCCCAGCGAAGGGGCTTCCCCATTAGTTCACCACCACCTCTTCACACCCAGGCTGGGAACTGCCTACTTTTCCATCTTTTGCTGACATCATGCAACCAATAAACGGCCCGTTCTCCCCGGGCAGGATCCCGTCAAGCTGCCCGGCCCACCAGCTCCCCACTGTGGCGGAGGCAGGGCTCAGGCCCTGGGAGCCGCTGGCTCAGGAGAGGGGCTGCCAGGACTTTGCCGGGAGGGGTGGCCTGGAGGGTCTCTGCCCCCGGGGAGTCTCAGAGGGTGCCTGCAGGATGACATGGGGCCACATGAAATTAGAAGGTGGCTGCGTGGAGGGGCTGTCACTGCTGGGGAGGGCAGGCTCCGTGCTCAGGGCCCAGCCAGGTCCCAATCCGCCATCCACAGCCCTTGGTGGGGGGGCTTCCCGGGGGGCCCGGGGAGGGGGGACTGGGCTCCGGTCACCTGCCAGCTCCGTGCTGGACACAGGGCCACCCAGGGCGTGAGGCGGCCCTGCCCCTAAGACTGAGACCCTGGGGAGCAGCTGGGGAGGCAGTGGTCAAGGGCCCACCTTGGCCCGCGGCACAGTCTTCCCCGACACACACCTCCACTCCCCTAATATCGTAGCTGAACCTTCGTTCACCGACCACAACCTTTCTCCTTCATCTGACTCACGTCGCTCAGGGAAACTTCTCACGTTCATAGTGGGGTTACAGAGCCTGAGAGCCGGTCAGACAGCCTCCCCTCCCTCCATCACCTCCCTCCCTCCATCACCCCCCCTCCCTCCATCACCCCCCTCCCTCTGACCCTCCCTCCCCCTCTTCCATCCACCCCTCCACAAAGTGCTCCCCACAGTTCCACGAGGTGGGGAGGGAGCCAGGCACAGTGAGGCCTACCCTTGCTGTCCTGGGGTCCATGGAAGGAGGCAGGAACTGAGGAGGGGAGCCCCGAGACCCCTCGGGGCTGCCCGGCCACCTCGAGCAGCCCAGGCTACACTCCTGGGCTCTTTCCTCAAGTGTGTCCCAGACCAGCGGTCCCTGGAGGGACACCCTGCTATTTGTTCACTGATGTATTCCCAGCTCCCTGGACAGGGCCTGTGCCTAAGCAGGGCCTGTTGCTGTGCCCTGGGGGACCGATGGTCGCGTGCGTGGGCGATCACCCTGCCAGCTGGGGAGACCCACCCAGGCTCCCCGTACATTTCAGCACTCACTGACAAATACACCCGCACATCCGGTGCAGGGTCAGGCCCCCTCCGGGGCCCACCCTCACTCCGCCGGGCTCGCGAGTGGCTGCAGCCCACAGGTGTGCACCCCGGGCAGACCCCGTGGGGACAGGCCCAAGGAGAAGCCATGGCAGCGGCGGGGAAGGTGAGCTCTGAACGGTTTGGCTGGGAATCCTGGGGTCACATGGTCTGGAGTTGGTCTAGAAGAGGCGGCACAGCCCCAGGAAGGCACACTGCTGCCCAAAGCCTCCTGACCCGCTAGAGGGACCTGCCGGGGAGGCCCTCCTGAGTGGACAGGAAAGCACGCTGACATTCATGGGAGTGCTTGGTCCTAGCGGGGAAACAGCCGCGCTCCCCGTGTTACTCTAAGACCTTCCGGAAACCCCGGACGTCGGAGGACAGCTCGCTTTGGACGAGGTATTTCACCCCCGCCAGGCCAGCGTCATCACCTGGGATTTGGGAATGGCCACAGGACCTGCCCGCAGGGCTGTTGGGGACGTTCACTGACATCATGTCTGTCCCCCGCTTAAGCTGTGCCTGACACCGAGTGGGCGCTCAAAACTTAGAGCCTCGTTTCAGCTTCCTGGGTGGTCTTTCCCCGGGGTCCTCCGAAGACCCAAGTTCTTGATGACCAAGGCCCGCCTGTCCCAGTGACGGCCCCTAGAGGGTGCCCGCGAGGCTGAACGCGCCTTGCATGTCCGGCCCGCGGCCGCCAGGGGGCAGCACCACCCGAGGCGGCGGCGGCGGAATAGGCGGCCCCACCGCGGCCTGGGTCTGAGAGCCCCTTCCTCGCCGGATCCGGACCCGCTAGAGCGGTTCTAACGGGAGAAACGGCGCGGGGCCACGCAGGCGGGGCGTGCGGAGCCGGGCCCAAAGCCCGGTCTGAGAAGGGGAAGAGAAGTCGAGAGAGGCCCTGCGCCCGGTGACAAGTGACAGTGACGTGATGGTTGACGGTGACATCAACCGGTGCTCCCGGCCTCGTGCGAACCCTGAGAAACTGCAGGGTCACGGGGCTTCGGGGCTGGGCTCCGGGGGATGGGAGCGCACCCCTGGGGCGGGGAGGGCGGGGACCAGCAGGGCCGGCGGTGGCCCTGTCCCTGGGCTCCGGGCAGAGCGGAGGTGGCCGGGGCCGCGCAGCAGGGAGGCCCTCCCGGGAGGCGCCCAGAGCACACCCGCCACCAGCCGGGGCAGCTGCTGTGGACACGGTCTGCCGGTGCCTCAAATTTACACGTGACCCAGCAATGCCGCTCGAGGGCGTAGCCAAGAGCGTTGAAGGCATCCGTGTGCGCAATGTTGGGAGCAGCATTATCCCCAGTAGCCAGATGTCCATAGCAAACGCGGTCTATCACACAGCGGACTGTCACTCGGCCACGAAAAGGAATGGAGTTCTGACCCCTGTTACAGTGTGGCTGAGCCTCGAAAACGTGACAAGTGAGAGGCCAGACACGAAGGGCCACATACAGCATGAGGCCATTTCTAAGAGGCGTCCAGAGTCGGGAAATCCACAGAGACAGAGGGGAGACAGTGGTCGCCTGGGGCTGGGGGCGGGGCAGTAGGGCGTGACTTTCTGAGGGGTGAAAGTGTTCTAACACTGACGTATCTGTGGATACACTAAAAGCACTGGCTTGTGCACTTTAAAAGGGTGAGCTGTATGGCATGTGGTCACATCTCAATAAAACTGTTTTAAAAAAAAAGACACATCAGACCCCCTTCATCCAGACTGCAGCCCCAGGGCCCCTGAAGGGACATCCTGGGGTCACCGCAGCTCAAAGGGGGGTGGGCTGAGAGACCTCAGCCCCAGTGGCCCCCATGTAACCCCCGCTCATGGCTCTGGGGCTCCACAGCCCCCTAGTGACAGAGGCCTAGGTTTCAGGCAATGGGCAGGCAGCGTGGGCAGGGTGGCTGAGGGTCCCCAGTGGGCTCTGCCCTCAGCCTGCCTCACCCCAGGGTGTCAGGTGAGGTAAGCAGGATACCTGTTGTTTCTGATGCTCAGGAGATAATCACCTTCCTCCATCATGACCATTCCTGACCCGCCTGGA